GTCACAACCCAGTCTCAACTGCCCTGTACCTCAGTCTCTGTACTTACAGAGACTGTAAGTCAGGAGGCGTTGACACCAGACGTTTCTGCTTCGGTGATGTCCCCTATGAAGAGCACGTGTCCAAAGCTTTCACAAGTGACCTCTGGGCAGAAACACAAGTTGAGGAGCTGCTTACTTCCATCAGAGAGCTCGAGACCCAGAAAGCGCAAGATTCCTCTGCTGCGTCCAAGGCGAGGGGAGCCTTTGCAGCTACCTGCAGGCCCCCAGCCAGGTTACCCAGTCACCGCACAAGACCTGGATCAGGAGAAGAGAGCTGCACTCCAACACATCAACCTCATGTTGAGAGGTGAGACGGGGGCCTACTTGGGCTTCAGCACCCTACAGCCTTCGGAAGATCACCCACTGCCAGCTGCAGAGGTTGGTCCTCCAAAGACTGCCACACCAGCCCCCAACGTGAACCAGGAACAGGCAGTGTGGAAGGGAAAGCAGGATTCGCTAGACCTAAAGAACTTCCTGCAGTGTGCAGGACTGGCCACTTCAACTAATCTCATGTGTAGGAAAACTCCCTGCTTACCAGCCCCTCTACTTAATTCATTCCCACCACTCCCAGCTGACACCTTCTCACGTACACTGCCCTTAGTCCCTTTGAACTGGCTGCCCACTCCTTCCACTCCATTTTCACATACACAGAGACCCTTCAGATCAGCTGGGAGTTCATTCACTTCCACACCTGCTCCCTCTCATCTGCCTAAACATGGAGTGGACTTCCCCACCACTCACAGCACCTGCAGGGGAGACTCACCTACACCTATGGTCGTAGATTCTCCTGAGTCCTTCCCCTGGGCCTCCTCTTCAACAAAGGCTCCTAGGGCCTCTCTCTCCAGGGGCATGAAAATCATTGGTCCCTCACTTGGCCCTAGCACAACAAGCGGCGCTTCTAGAAGCTTGCACACCCAGAATTTCCTTGATGTGCGTGTCACTCCTATGGACACCTCTTCAGTTCCACACTCAGCTCCTCCTCATCATGTAGTCCACACCTTTCCTCCTATACAGCAGACTCCTGATATGGGTGTCACACCCATGGATACCTCTGAATTTTCCCAGTCTCTCTTCCAGCAACCTCTCCTGAGCACCAGTATGGGCCTACCATCCATCCATGTCCTTCAGACACCCGCCTCCAATGGCAGTAATCCTAGGGCCTCTATCTCCAGTGGCATGAAAATCATTGGTCCCTCACTTGGCCCTAGCACAACAAGCAGCGCTTCTAGAAGCTTGCACACCCAAAATTTCCCTGATGTGGGTGTCACTCCTATGGACACCACTCTAGTGCCACAATCAGCTACTCCTCATCATGTAGTCCACACCTTTCCTCCTACACAGCAGACTCCTGATATGGGTGTCACACCCATGGATACCTCTGAGCTTTCCCAGTCTCTCTTCCAGCAACCTCTCCTGAGCACCAGTACAGGACTACCATCCATCCATGTCCTTCAGACACCCACCTCCAGAGGCAGTAATGTTTCAGGCTCAGATGCTACCAACCAGCCTACTCTATGGTCCCATAACTCTCACAAAACCACACTGAGCCTCACCCTGTCTCCTACATCTATGCCCAGGCAGGTAATAAGGGCCCGTGATAGGAAGCAGCGAGGAGCTACCACCAACCCTAAGGCTCTCCAGACTGCAATGCAAGCAGCTCCAACACTGAATCTCGCTTCAAGCTCCACTCCAAGTCATCCAGCCTTGGGCAGTAGCACAGGGTCACAGTTGACAGGCTCATTGACCTTGGGCTCACAAGTCACCACTAAGCTTGCTTTGGGTTCCATCCCATTAGTTTCCGAGTCCGGTGGCACCACAGTCTCTGGATTTGGCACTTCTATGACTGGCACTGTTACCAATGTTGGGCTGAATGGGAGGCTCCACACCTCAATAGGTGCCAGCACATCCATAAGCCCCTTAAAGCCGGGGGTTTCTTCAACTCCCATGGACTCTCAAAACAGAGAAGTCTCAGATGTCTCCTCCCAATCTGCAGGACAGACAATTGACAGCGCATCAAAGAGAGACCCTAGCATCCCAAAGAACTGTAGGAAACACAGCCCATCTACCAAGAGCACCAGAGGTCTTTCTAGCCAAAGCACACATACAAAGCAGATGGGACCTAGAAAGATTCATACAAGTCCTGCCATTGAAGTTGCTAATAAGCAAACATTAAGTCAAACTCCCTGTAACACTTCCCAGGGGGGACCAGGTTTTACAAGTGGAGGTCCTAGCACCTCAGAAAACAAGGCTTCTTCCAGTGTAAAGTCCACACCCACTGTTCCTCAGAGCAACCGGGTTGGTAGAAAATGCAAAGAGAAGAAGAAACATCTTTGAATGTAGCCTTGCTCCTTTATCACCAGCCCAAAGCTTTGTAGGGGAAGGAAATCAAGGGCCATCCACTAGCTTATGTCATTTGGCACCTAGATCTAGGATGGTGGAGTACAAGAAGAATAGCCAGTGTCCTTTTCTTCTGAGGCTGATCTTGTAGGAGGTCTGTAAACATGTGTTCCACAGATCTAGTGCTGACCTCTGTAATCCAGCATTCAGTGCTATATGACAGAGGAGGTATTAGGGAGACCATGAAAATTACTCACTCACATACTCAATCACATAGTTTACACAACTCAGCCGTGGCAGTCCACACAGACTATGATAGGATCCAGCACAAACACAATGGGAATTGCAAAAGAGTGGGTGTATGTTGGCAGCTGCCTTGATGGGCATGGATTTTGTCAGTTAGCTGGGCTTTTATAGAGTTTGCTCTGTATGTTTGTAAAGTTTGCACCTAACAGGGTGTCAGTGCCATTTCCCAATTGTGATTATCAAAAGTGACCTTCAGTTCTTCAGGGTTGGCATGAAACTAGGTGTGGACTTTGTTGTTATAGTTTGACGGAGGTTCACAAAGGAGAAGGAACATGAAGAATGCTTATCACCTGA